CAAAATACATAGGTTTCGAAGGAAATGTGAAATGTGTGGCCTCCGGTGGAAATTTTACAATTAACATATGAAAATAAGTGCAGCAATGGATTCCTCACACCAAAAAACCCCTCAAAGCATGTTTTTATATAAAATTTAAGCACGTCCTTACGACATTACAGCAAAATGCTAAGAAACCTACTTTCGGAATTTGGCAAACTCCAAATAGATTTTAGACCCATGGTTTCTTTGGCAAATTTGCTTAGAATTACACGTAGCATGCGTCTGTGCTAAACGCGCATAGTCGAAAAAATCTCCCATATAAATTGACCTGCCCTAGTATGAACATATGTTAGACCGCATCACGACGTATGCGCCAGGAAAAAAGTTCAATTTTTTCCAAGCGATTTTGAACACCCACTATGAAGGTGTATAGGAGACTAAATTTTTTTCGGCACTCGGTAAAAGGGCTAAATTGTTTTTTTAATAATATTTTTATCCCCAAGAAAATACTAATACATTTTCAATAAACAACTTGGTAGGAAAATTTTGTTTTTGCAAACGAATATGGGAGCTTCGAATTCCCACGAATAAGCAAATCATAGTTTGATATACACGAATTTTCATAAAAATTTTAAACATTTTACTCAGATTTCAAAAAGTTCCATCCTTTGCCCGGCGCTAAATATAATCATTTGTGCTCAACTATAATTTTTCAGTTCTAAGGCCACATAATATCGCTATTACAATACATACAACCAAATCGCCTTTATTCTTCTCCATACAAAATCGACCCAGCGTAATGTACATACTTACATACGTGCTTATTGCAGGTATGCAAAGTACTCGTGTGTTTGCCAACTGTTGAATGATTTGCGTGTGGCTTGGGTGGGACAGCTACTTGCTTGTGGTTAAGCCTGCCCAAATGCAGACATACATACATATGTAAGTATGTATGTATGTAAAAACGTTAAAATAAGACTTGGCATGATTACAAATATTTCACCGTCTAGAAGACGGATACAACATTTTCAAGTGTGCTGGATTTTAAGGAAAGACTGTTCCAACCAATCACGGCTACTGATAACGACAATCCCTTAGGGACAATATCTCTACCTAAATCAGGAAATTGGTAATTGTATTTAGTTCGTGCAAAGTAAGCGTTTCGACTAGCTCAAATATAGTAAATACATTTGTTTGGACTTATTTTATTTGACGTCAAATCAACTGTATTAAATATAGATTCCAATGTCAAAAGTCAATTAGAAAACGAAACCACCTTTCGTGCTAAGATAGTTAAGCTTGTGTTACAACAACAACAACAACAAAACCAAATAGGCCTTTTTTTTTTATACGCTGCCTATAATTGTTAGATAGTGTGTTTAAGTTAAGTGTACCTCCTATCCATTGCTTATGTCATTGGCTCTACTCATCCTTATTTGAAGTGGTCAATTTGTAGTTAGTAACGCGGCGTCTGAGCACATACACATACATACTTATTTATAGCCATATATGCGGAAGCATATTTTGTTTGTTTTCAATATGCCGCGCGTTCCGGTATCGCACGGAATCGGTGTTTTGCGTTGATAGCTTTTAGGCGCGACCGTTGTGCATACACATACAGACACGCATACACAAAATGGTGCATACCCAGTAGACAAAACATAAAGTAATAAATAATACACAGCCCAGATATTTCGAAACGTTACGACACCTGTAAGTTACAAGCAGGGACCGAAAATAATAATTATAATTTTTTTTTATTCTAATAAAAAAATCAACTTGTTGTAAGTGTCGTAAAACAGTTTTAACTCTACTCACATATATGTATTCGTACATCCTACTGTAATCTATAATGATTTTTATTTTTCGAGTTTAACCAATACAAATTAAAAATAATAATTAATATTTGAGTTTTATTTTTTCGTCTAAAATAAAATATTATATGATTTTTTTTCGCTCAGATATAATATTTACTGAGTTTTTTTCACTTAAGAATAGTGATCATTCAAAAGCTATATTAACGCGATTTCCGACATATTCTTTTCAGAAGTAGCGACACTCTAATAAAAGGGATACGTCTCAAAATTTTTCAGTTCAAAATTTTCTGCTGTATGCGTCTGTATGGCCTTTTAAAGGAACATAATTTTTAGGTGGAAAAATACAAGTCAATAATAATTATTATCTCTGAGAGCGAAAAATAAAAATCAAATACTAATTAAATATTTTCCGTTGAGCGAAAAAATAAAACTCAATATTAATTATAATTTCTAAGCGAAAAAATAAAAATCATAAATTTACGATTAAAGGCTGATTTAAGTTGTATTATTCATAGTGATTAAGGTTCCCGGTTGCAACAATAAAAACACCTGAATCAGCTGATTTATCGATTCTGGCACGAAATGTGGTTTTTGTGTTTCTCACGCCTTACGAAATTTCGGCATATATTGGCACTTTTGAGTGAGTAATATTTTTTTACTCTCAAATTACCGAACCCTGTCTGGGAAGCGTGAGGAACAAAGCTAGTGTGAACTGGCATGGAAATAATACGACTTTAATGGATTGAAAATTCATATAAAAGTACGCAGTGAGCCTTTGAACAATAATGCATTGTAGGAGTGTGACAGTGGCGCATTATTTAGTTACAAAATATGTAAAAAGTATGAGTGCGAAAGCGGGAGATAACTACATATGTACATAATAGTGCTTAGGATTCCATGAACAATTTTCGTATATATTTTTTGTGCTATACATAAATACATAAGGTGTACTTAAATTCAACTTTAGCTATAAACGGTGACACCGACAATCTGATACAATTGCTTGCCTGAACATAACGGTTAAAAGCTCCTCTAAGTATGGTGTATATACATATGTACATATGTTTAAGAAATAAGGCTTTCGCTAGAGTTTGATGGTTTGATGGCAAATACCAGCATCAACTAAATTCCAGGTGATTTAATTACCTTTACTTTCAGTTTCCATTTCATTTTTATATATAAACGTGTTAATTTGCGTGACCGTGTGCTTGATTGTAACTTATATGTTCCAACACCATTTATCCGATTGATTTTAAAATTGTTTAAGTTGTTTTGAGCCTGCTTGCGCGGTTTTATGAGTTGGTCTGAATCCGATTGATGGTGCTGGGGTCGATAAATCAGGAAACATTGTTATCGTTTATGGTCCGCTTGGGTTTTCATATTCGTATACATACAGCTTTACTTAAAAATATACAATTTCCGGACAGATCCAAATGTTACAAACACATGTTACACAAAGCATTTTAACTCAGAGCTCCCCGGAAAGGAACACAACAGAATCGTGGTCAAGCTTTTGCCAGAAGGTAAATATGCGGTCTGCGAACACTTTTTGGTATGTATATCTAATATCAAAAATTAAAAATTTTGAACAAATACGCTTTTAAATGCTGTGCGTGATATTTAGGTAGATTAGATAGATCTAGGCTGTTCAGGTATTCATCAGACTCAGATTTATGCTTTGTATAAATAACCTTAATGACATCTGAAAAATAATTTACTTGCAAATATTTAAAGAAAGTTAGTGAATAGTATTCCCGTGGTTGGTCACGTTGGGATATAGGAGAAAAATTCCAATTAAATACTTTAAAAAGAAAATTTGATACAAATTTTGGCAACCGGTATAATTTCTTTGGCACAACTATTTCCTACCACCCAGCAGCAAAGTTCACTAATGATGTAAACTAATCTTCCTAAAAGTATGCTTCCTTTTGCTATAATAAATGAATGACTACTTTGTACATAGTTTGTTACATACATATCTACATCAATGCGTAATGTACTTACACTAGCAGCAAATTAAAGTGCACACCTTGTTCTAATATAATATATTATTCACAATTATTTATGAAAATAGAGTTAATTATATAATATAAACCATATAAATAAAAATTTTACACTTAATGTAAAGTTCACAAAAATTCCAAAAATTTTCAATTTTTTATTCAAATATTCGAGTGCTTATGCAGCTTTTTAGCCCATTTTAGTGAAATAAAGTGCACGTTTCAAGTCGCTTAAAGTTACCGTTGATTTTTTAGAAGTTTTTTTTTTTGTCGCCTTTGCTTCCATATAACGAATAAAAAAAGTTCATTTTTATATGGAAGAAACCTGCAACATCCTCCACAAAAAAATTGAATGTGCTAAAGAACTGCATACTCGAAAATTCTTCTAGAAATTCTTAATAAATTTGATTTTTTTGGAATTTTTTTGAACTTTATATAGAATGTGAAACATTGATTTTTTGTGGTTTATAACTATTATAGAATGCACTATATGCGGCCGCTGTGGTATATGGGTTCAAGCCCGGCGCGCTTCCACTCCGCAGGACCTGGGTTCAAGCCCGATTTAACCCAACATCAAAAAATGTAATACAAAAAAGGTTTTTTTTCTAATAGCGGTCGCCCTTCGGCAGGCAATGGCAAACCTACAAGTATATTTCTGCCATTAAAAACAGCTTCTCATAAATGTACAATCGCCGTTCGGAGCCGGCGTGAAACTGCAGGTGCCTCCGCTTTGTGTGACAACATCAAGGCGCACGCCACAAATCGGAGGAGAAGCTCGGCCAATCACTACATACATACATATCGAGCCCTAACCGCCAAAATAACGTAAACGCCATTTTTTTTCAAAATTTTCCTTTCGATGCAGAAATACATCTAGATGCTCGAGGAATATTTCTGCATCAAAAAAAAATTTTTGAAAAAAATGTCGCTTACGTTATTTTGGCGGTTAGGGCTCGATATGTGTAAGCGCCAATCTATTGCAAAAAATTGTTGATGAAAATAATTGTGAATATTATATTAGAACAAGGTGTGCACTTTAATTTGTCTGATAGTGTACATATGTTCATATGTCTGTACGTANTACATATGTATGTACATAAGTGAAATGACTGGCGTGCTGTTTTGGACTCGGCCAAAATCGCTTAGGTGGTTACAGTGCCAATAAAGAAGAAGAAGATGTACATAAGTGCATATAGTTATATTAGCTTTTAACAATAAAAATTAGGTTCTCACTCACTTTCTTTTCATTGTTGCTCGGTGATTCTGGCGTGAGTGGTGCCTTCTTTGGCAGTGTTCCATTACTTATCACAGTTAATGCTGTTGGCCTCTGCACTTTTTCAGGCACAAATTTGAACTCGTAAAGGTCGTTGCCTCCCCAGCTGGCAAGGCAATTCTTTTTGTCCACGTACTGAGTAATATCCTTTTTCGATATCATTTTGAGAATTTCCAGCGCTTTGGCTGGTAGGAAACCCTTTATGATTTTAAACGCAGCTGTGACGAAGAAATTCCGTTAATATAATATGAATTTTTCAATAAGACATATATAAAAAGGAATTAACTTACCATTCAGCATCCAAGCCATTTCAAAAACTAGTATATAATTTAATGTATTCGGATAGTACATTTTGAATGTTTCAATAATTCGCTTGACAAAGTCCAGAT